AAAATAGGGGCTGTATGAAATTATAGGTATTTCATAAAAAAAAAATGACTTTTTTTATTTGGGGTATTTGCTAGAAATGTCAAACGTTGCTAAAAAAAAAAAAAAGCAAAAAAAATCTAACTCGTAAGTTCTTTGGTTCGGGCTTGCTATAATTACATCTCACAGGACTTGCGTTTATAGTATACACCCAACCGCGTCCATGCACCGTCCATTTCATAAACACGGAAATGGGAAGCGAGCCCACGGTGTCGTGTTTAGGGCAAAAAGAAAAAGAGCCCACAGGGGGGCGCTATCTGGCCATCCAGTCCGCGCCACGTACGATCATGAAATATATATAATAAAGGAAGCCGTGAGTCGCCGCTATGATATATATATATAATAAAGGAAGCCGTGAGTCACCGCGTGAGGTACATCGTCAAGACAGACAAAGTGGTTTTTTAAAGTTTTCATACTCAAATATTTCGGTATTGTATGTTAGGGTGCTGTTTGTATACGGATGCATATGTAGGTATAGAGGTAAGGTGCACCGTTAAATTTTATCATGGTATATAATTTTGGAGCTATGCTCCTATAAGAACCTCCTACACTAATGTGTGTAGAACTTTAAAAGATCACTATTAAATTTAATACAGATTTTTAGAAAAGTTGTTATATAAGTGTGAGACTTAACTTTTTTAGAGATCTGTATCAAATTTAATGGTGATCTTTTGGGGTTGGACACACACGAGTGTGGGAAGGTCTCACATGGTCATTTCTCATAATTTTAATGTAAAATATTTTTAAGATTATCTCAAAATCTGTTTTAATATCTAATTATAAAACTTTAAATTTCAAAAATGGTTAAAATCAAGTAGATCTATAAGCATATGAAAATCTTGAAAATGGACGGTGTAGATAATATGTTGTAAAATGCATTATTCCTGATACCTAAAATCTTTTTATTTTTCATAGTCATTCATGTCGATGTCAAGATGATCAATCAAAGGCTTTTTCAACATTAAAACTACTTTTTTTGATGGATTTTTTAATGGCATCTATAGTTCTACATTATAAGGTAGCATCCTTATATAAACTTTTTCCTTGTATGCAGTGAGGTTGACGATTAGAGTTTCTTTTTTCGCTTTGGGACGCAATATATTTAAGGATCGTATACAGGGGGATAATTTATCTTTGTAATAGGAGCTCAAAATTACTCACAACCATCCTATATAAATTTTGATAGCTTCGGTGTGTCACAAAGTTAGGTAAAATTTCTTATGAAGTTTGAGCTTGGTCAGTAGAATAAATGCAACCATCTAATTTCACATCCAATAGTAAAAAATCAATTGTGATCACTTTGTATAAAAAATAAATGGTTTCTTTGTGTACTTGTTCAAATATTTACTCTAGGATTTAGTTTCTATAATGTCATGGCTGTATGAAAACTAGGGTTGCCAGCCCGTGTGGGCCGATAAAGCCGGAAACTACTTTGAACGAGCCTAGAACGGTCCAATCATTGTAATTGTGGTATCAACAAACAAAAAAGTATGTGGTATTTGACCCCGACCATTGTCATCCCTACTTCCCCCCGCCTGAACGCTCTCTCTTCCATCCACCATCTCCTGGAGAGAGAATGCGTTTTTAGACAGAAAGAGAGATTGGGTTTCTACTTTTTAGAGAGAGAGAGAGAGATTGGTTTTTAGAGAGAGACAGAGAGATTGAGTTTCTAGAGAGATAATGAGTTTTTAGAAAGAGAAAGATAATAGGTGAGACAATGAAGTTTTAAAGAGAGAAAGAGAGATTGGGTTTTAGAGAGAGAATAACTTTTTAAAGAAAGAATGGGTTCTTAGAGAGAAAGAAAGATTGAATTTCTAGAGAGAGAGAAATTGGGTTTAGAGAGAGATTGGGTTTTTTAAAAGAGAGAAAAAGATTGGGTTTATAGAGTGAGAGAAATTGGTTTTTAGAGAGAGAAAAGAGAATAGATTTCTAGAGAGAGATTGGGCTTTAGTGAGAGAAAGAGAGATTGGGTTTTTAGCGAGAATGGGTTTTTAGAGAGAGAGATATTGAGTTTCTAGAGAAATAATGGTTTTAAGAGAGAGAAAGAGATATTGTGTTTCTAGATAGAACATGGGATTTTAAAGAGAGAGATTAGGTTTTTAGAGAGAGAACATGTTTTTAGAGAGAGAAAGAGAGATTGGGTTTTTAGTGAGAGATAGATTGGGTTTCTAAAGAGAGAATAAGTATTCAGAATGAGAAAGAGAGATTAAATTTTTAGAGAGAGAAGAGAGAATAGGTTTGAAGAAAGAGATTGGGTCTCTAAAGAGAGAGAATGGATTTTTAGAGAGAGAAAGAGAGATTAGGTTTATAGATAGAGAGATAATGGGTTTTAGATAGAGTGATTTAAGTTTTTAGAGAAATAATGGATTTTTAGAGAGAGAATTGGTTTTTAGTAGAGAGAGAGAGAGTGGCCTCTTACAGAGAGAAAAAGAGATTGGATTTCCAGAAAGAGAGAATGGATTTTTAGAAAAAAATAGAGATTAGGTTTTTAGAGAGAGAATGAGTTTTAACTTTTCTGAAAAGTATTTTAGCCTCTATTTATTTATTTACTTTTTGGTTTACAACAAACAAAAAAAGATTGAACAGTGAAGAGTTTTGTTTGTCTTATTTATTTATTTATAAAGGCTTCTAAATGGGTCGGGCCAAAATATTTCCAAGTTTACTAGGCCAGCCCGACCCAGTGGCAACATTGTTTGCTTTTTCAAGTCATTTCGGATTGTCCCGTTAATGGGCCATCCCAAAGGCTGTAACAAGCCAGGTAAATCGTGTCTTTATTGCGGCCTAGCTCGAGCCCAGCCCGAAGCCCTAACAGGCCCGAATTAAGCTCGGAAGTGGCCTGGAATGCCGGCCAAGCCCATTGGCAGCCCTAATGAAAATAAAGTAAAGGCACAACTTGAATCCTCATCCGAAAAGTACTTGGGCATCTAAAATCTCTATTATGTCTCTATAATCAATTTCCAACACCGATTATGACTTGAATCCTCACTTGAAAAGTACTTGGGCATCTGAAATCTCCATTATGTCTCTGTAATCAATTTCCAGCACCGATTTTGAGTTTTGAAGCTAAAAACTTAGTACAAGTCTTGTAGATCCATAAACATTTATTTCAAGGAAAAAATAGACGGTCTAGAAAATGTGTTATAATATGCATTAGTTCTAGAGCTTAAAATCCTTTTTCTTTTTTTTTTTTCCAACCACAATATTCAAAGTTAAGATGATCGATATGAAGGTTTGCCGGCATTAAAACTATAATTTTCAGAGAGTTTTGAGGCGAGACTTTGCTTATTTTAATAAGACTGCACCTCTATTAGAACATTTTCCTTTATTCTATTACCCTTATACAAGGTTTAAAAAAGCAGACTGGTGACTTGGATTGGCCACTTTAATTATTGTGTCGGATTAGTGGATCGGTGATTCGGATCAGAGAATCGGCAGATTGTGGCTTCAAAAAAATACAAAAAAACTCTAACAATAGTGTTTTCTGAGTTTCAAAAAAACATTGGTGTTATATTATGTGCTTTTGTTATTTTGCAAAAATATGCGAATATTGAGACATTTTCCCTATTTGGATGTCTTTATAATAAGTAAATATAACATAATATTATGATGTTGCATTAAATATGATTAAAAATACCAAAAAATAGTTCCATATTATAAGATTAAAAATAATAATTTTCCTTACTAAGTGAAATTAGTATCACATCAAATATTTGTTAATTCTCTTTACGCATCCAAAATTATCACAATTTAACCAACTATAATACGATATAATAAAATTGGAATTATTATCTTATATTTTATAATTATTTTACTATACAAATAAAAATAAATTTAAACTGTCTTATAATAAAATCTTATTCCTATGTTTAACTATAACAAAAAATAATACATTATGTAAGCTTGAAAAAAACTAATGTCCTAAAAATGAACTTAGACTGATCTTCGGACAGACATATTTAAATGTTATAGAATCCAAATTCCATTTTCTGGAAATAATTATATGGGGATTCTTAAGTGGATCAAGAAAATATTCCTAAATGGCACTTTTCTCTAAAGGAATAATTATATGAGAATTCTTAAGTGGATCAATTATTGGAAGAGGCTTAGATGGATGGTAAGGCCCGAGACATTGTATTTTATCCAAATATGCATATCTTTCTGGCTAGAATGCACTCTCCTAGTACAAAATTACTTGAACCAATACTCAATGATATATTGAAGTGAGACATAGTCGATAACCAGCAATGTGGTATGCCTAACTTACCTCACTCGTGATTGAGAGAGAGAGGCTCCAAATTTGAGACACAGAGGGACTTAAATTTCAGCTTTCGTGATTGCAAAGGACGAGAGAGGAAGTTTTATCCCGCATCCAAAAATTTTAAGCTTGCAAAACCTTAATAAAGGCTACACACTCGATCCTCGATGCTAGGAACTTACACACCTCGTTAATGCTAGCTTACACATAATGAGTTGTTCCTCATTCATGCGTGAAGTGAAGCCATGGTAATGAGATTAAACTACGAGTTTATGCTGCCCTGTATTTTAAGAACATAGTTTGGATTAGAACGGCCTTCCATTCCCAATATATGGAGGGAAAAGGATCACCATCTATTTCAATCCGAATTAGGGGAATTCAGTTCCCAAGGAGGGAAACGGATCACCATCTAATTTTAATCCGAATTATGGGAATATATGGAGGGAAATGGATCACCAACGATTTTCAATTCAGATTTATGGGAATTCAGTTCGAGAGAAATGGCTACCATCAATTTTCAATCCGAATTATGGGAATTCAGATTTGATCGCCAAACTTTCAAACTTTGACCTAACATATCGTGTCGCCGTCGGACTCGGCCTCTCTCTATCATGTTACGTGGTACAGTTGTGCAGAATGGAAAATCACGATACGCGAAGCTCACAGACGTTACAATACAGACAAAAAAAAGCAATGGAAAAGGCAAGAGGAATCACAAACCACGGAGAAATCTCTTATCGATTTTGATTTCCAATCGACTCGATCCGAGTTACTGTCCTTACAATAACAAACCACAACCGCAAATAGTTCTTCCGGGCATCCCAGTGCCATAAAAATAAAAATAAATAAGGGAAGGGGAAAATATCTACAAAACCAACCTCCACAAGACACGGGCCCGTAAGCTCAAGAAAAAGAAAAAAGAAAAAAGGAAGAGCTGGAGAGTTAGTGAATTTCAGTGGGCGGAGGGTGGTTGAGGTCGAAATCAAGAATCATCCTCCCATAAGAGGAGGGAGGAGACAGGTGGTGGTGCAAGTCCATAACCACAGAAGATGAATCTGAATCACTCTGCGCCGCTGCTGTTCCAGGGTCGCCATGGCAGTACTCAACAACCCCACCTCCGTACCCACTACCCATCATCATCTTGTCGGATCTGATAAAGAAAAGGGGCTGGGTAACAGGGATCGGACATGGAAGCCTCTGAAAAGAAGGAAAGCATGAGGTGGTGGAGAGATGCGGGCGGCAGCAGCTGCTGTCAAGATCGAGCAGGGGAACAGCCTCACGGCTTGACGACTCCACAGTACTACTGCTATGACTGCTGGGGCTCTGATGACCCGCAGTAATGGCACCATCGTCATGGTGTTGGTGAGGAGGGGGGAAGTTGGTCTTGGCTTTGGAGCCCCTGAATTCTCTGGCTGCAGCATCGTATGCCTTGGCAGCCTCCTCCGCCGTGTCGAAGGTCCCTAGCCACACACGACTCTTCCTAACGGGATCTCTAATCTCCGCCGCATACCTCCCCCACGGCCGCTTCCTCACGCCCCTAAAATGATTCTCCTTCGCCGAACTCCCTTGGTGGTTGCTGTTACCCCTGTTTTTGGGAGCCATGCCTGATCTTCTTCAATAAGGAGGATGATATGGGAGAGTTAAGAGGGATCGATGGTTGAATGGGTTTGGGGGCGGAGGTTTGTTTTATAAATGAGGGGGAGGGGGAGGGGGAGGGGGAGGGGTTGGGGTGGGGCGGGGGGCGGTACAAAGACGTGAGGAGGGGGGACGATGTTGCGTTGAAAGTGAAATGAAGGAAAGAGGGCGCAGTCAAGGAGCGGAATGACGGGGCCTTTAGCGCCGCCTGGGCCCGGAGGGTGGCGGCACATTATTGTTGGGAGGCGAGTGGACCCACGTGGCGCTTTCCTGGCGCTCCACGCGTGGGACGGCGGTGTTAAGAGGAGAAGCGCGGGTTCCGTGTTGGGCAAGGAGGACCACCTCAACCGGCATGTTGACATTATAGGCGGCATTTGTCGATCTCACACGTTTTCTCGGCGCGTGACTGGGACGGGGAGGCAGCCGCTCGCTTGCGCGCCGCAAATCAAGTCCCCTCTCGCTCTTGTTCCGAACGCGCCTCGATTCGCTTGCGTTCGTTCTTTTTATTTCGGGAAAATTATAAATAACTAGACTTTATGTGCAGGTTATCCCAACCATTTTTTTTTTTTCTCACTTTTTTTTTTTAAAATATATTTTTCTAGCGAATACCTCCAAATAGAAAATGGTATATTTTTTTTTATTAAAATTCCTTTTTGTATATACAAAAAATTAATTTTGATCGGACATTCACATGACTTACATGGGCTGTCGAACCGCTCTTTGGCATTGGCAGACCCCTTTTTTGGTAAATCAGTGGGGAATGCAGACCCCTACCCGTTTTAAGATATAACTAGCAGTTTTCAAATGTGTCGATGGGAATGGAAACCTAGACAGGTTAGTGAGGCTCAAGTGATGTTACTCCACAACCTCAATAAAATAAAAAAGTACCGGACCGTTTTTTGACTTTGTTGGACCACACTTTGGACCTGTTGCCGGACCGCACTTTGGACCTGCTGCCAGACTGCATTGACCTATTGTTGGACCGCTTTTTGGCAGCGCTGGACCGCATGTGCCAAATACCAGACCGCTTTTTTACAGTGTTACGGGACCGTTTTTTGTCAGTGCCGGACTGCCACTTGTACTACCGAATCGCCACTTGTATTTACTAAACCGATATTACATTATCGAACCGCCTTAAGAATACACCAGACCGTCTTTTTGTGGGAAAGAGGAGAGAGAGGCGTGGGTAAAACTAAGGGAGGGTAGTTTAGATTTTTTTTAATTTTTTTTTGAGTTAGGGGGTATTTGCTAAGAAGTATGTTTTGGGGTAAAAAGTGAGAAAAAAGAGGAGAGAAAGGCGTGGGTAAAATTGAGGGATGGTAGTTTAGACTTTTTTTTAATTTTTTTTGAGTTGGGAGGAATTTGCTAAGAAGTCTATTTTGGCGCAAAAAGTGAGAAAAAATAGGAGAGAGCGGCGTGGGTAAAACTAAGGAAGGGTAGTTTAGACTTTTTTTTTAATTTTGGTATTTGTTAAGAAGTCTATTTTGGGGTAAACAGTGAGAAAAAAAGTTTAGTTAGGGGTAACTTGCATAGAAAGTCTAGTCTTGAGGGTTATTTATAATTTTTCCTTTTATTTATCGCACTTGACACCTTGCACTGTTTTACATGCGATTTATTTGTTGGGGGTAAAAGAATTGGAAATTTAGTGGAGAAAAAGGGATTGGCTTTTGTACATGGAGGCGACACTCATTCACGTACTATGTACAAAAAATAAATAGTCTCTTTATAGATAATCTTGAAATAAAATACTTCAATTTTTCTATTTTTGATGTTTTCATGCATGAAAATTCAAAACTCTTGGATTTTTCCATTGTGATTCTTTCATAGTGAAACAAATTTTTGCTGAATTTATGTTGGGTATTACATCAAGTATTCTCGCGGAACTAATGCTTTACCACGAGTACAAAATTTTCAAGCATGGAGGACGTCACAACCCTTACCGCCCAATAAGCCGTGTTGCCATCATGTCTCTTAAAATAGAAAAAAAGAACGAAAAAAAAAGAAAAAAAAGAGGAGGAGCCTTGACCTTGATGGCATGCATGGTGACCCACCATCTTCAAAGAACGGTTGCCTATCGAACATGCAACTGGTTATAAACGAGGCCGCCGAAAAGGAAGGGAGCCTTTGCACTTGACCTCCTTAAACGAGATAGAGATTGAAGACTTCATAGAAATGCCAAAAGAGACCTCATTACCAAAAATTAAGAGGTTGTGTCCTCTAAATGACTAGGCCACTAGGGCCAAGATAAACCACGTAAATCTTTGGCTAAAAAGTGGGAGGAAGTTTAATTTAATGTATATTTTGAATAGGAATCGGTTTTTATGCAGCCAAACCTGCATATATAGAAATGTGGACCTTTTAATAAATCTATTTTTGAGATAGATTTTAAAACTTAATTTTTAAGGCCATGTGAGCTCTAACATGGAGATCATGAATATGAAAAACTAAATAAATTTTAAAGACTAGAAATAACAATTCTAGAAAGAAAATATTTGGACCCTTAGTTTTCATTGTGTTTAGATGGAATGCTTACTTGCATCCATCTTTAAAAAGGATGCTTTACACTTTCTGGACCGTACATGTCGAAATGCGGTCCAGCCCACATGAAACACTTTTTCTTTCAAATAGAATCATTTGGAAACAGTTTGACCCATTTCAAGGGCATTGTAATCAAGGGTCGATGTCCCTTCTATCACTTGTGTTGCTCATACTAACTGCACGCTAGCTTTTGAAGCAAATAATTTCAAATTAGCACCAAACTATGCAAAACTTCAAACTAAAGCCTTTGGAAACCACCCTGAACATTTCATGCTACTTGGCACTCATTTGACCGAACTTTTGAAATGAAGCGTAGTGAGTGATTTCTAATTCATGACATTTATTTTTTGGTTACAATTTGGTGTGGCAATTATCTCATAAAGCTCCACAAACCTATACTGGATTCAATGCCAAATAATCAAGGATTTGATACTAGATTTTTGTAGACACCCAACTTGAAATTGACTTTATTTTTAAATCCATGGGTCCTAAGCATACGATGTCCATAACGCTCATAACGATTTGGTGTGGCATACGATGTCCCTGACCTTTTGGGGGTAGGACATGTCCATAACAATTTGGTGTGGCAATGATATCATAACGCTCCACAAACCTATACCGGATTCACTGCCAAATAATCAAGGACTTGATACTAGATTTTTGTAGACACCCGACTTAAAATTGACTTTATTTCTAAATCCATGGGTCCCATTTTGGATTTATTTTTTGGTTACAATTTGGTGTGGCAATGATCTCATAACGCTCCACAAACCTATACCGGATTCAATCCCAAATAATCAAGGATTTGATACTAGATTTTTGTAGACACCCAACTTGAAATTGGCTTTATTTCTAAATCCATGTGATTAGCCCATAATCAAATAGACCATGTCCCTGACCTTTTGCTGGTAAGACCTTCGAAACTTACCAGAGAACATTGAAACCTTAAGAGACCTTTGAAGCCTAGGAATGATCCTTAGGAAACCCTGATTCTCATAAACCCTAATTTTCATTTAGGAACCTTAGTGAAACCCTAACCCTATTCTAGAGTAGACACTAATCTCCCTTCAACTCATGATCATTCATGGCCATCAGAGCACGAAAAACAATTCATTTCATTTTCATAGCCAATCCCTAGTGCTTGGGAGCCTTCACTCCATATTGCATTCAAGTTTGAGGAAGCATTTTTTTAAAGAATAAAATGGCAATTCAATCATTCATTAGCTTTGATCAAGGCTCCTACTCTAGATGCCAGGCTGGCAGGTTTGTCAGTTGATAGGGAAATTTATTTTATGTAAGTTTAATGCATATTTTATTTATTTTTGTGTTATTTAGTTTAGTTTAGTCATTTGCTTATTTTCCATTACTTTTGATGTGATTCGTAGCCGGTATTAAAAATACATAGAAGGTTGATTTCCTTGCAAGATTGGATTGTCTTTGTTGGAGTTATGGCCTTTCAAGGCCTATTCACCATTCTGTGATAGCTCTTCGTTGGAGTTATGGCTTTTCAAGGCTTCATCTTTGCCATTTCATGATAGTTCCTAGTCATAGTGGGAGTGAACAAGAATGTTGCACTTGCTAAATTTTAGCGAATTGGGATCCAAAAAGTCAAAATACCCCGAGTCATTAGGAATGACTGGAGGGCCCCATCACAATCGAGAGGTTTGAGGGTCTTCTTTAGTTAGGGTCAGTGTAAGAATGTCTCATAAGTGTGTGAGCCAAGTCATAAGAGATAAGATTGGAGAATCAGATATGTTAAGAGCTAACATGTAAGATTGAGCCCTGTGTTAGTAGACTAGGCTTTGAGACGACATGAGCCTAAATCCCTAGAAAATCAGTTTACTAACAGCATGTACAAAGGACAGTCTCAAATGGGAAGCCACTCTGATAAAGTTGCTCTTTTTTATTTGAGCTATGCTCATGTGTTAGAGAGAACATCTCTGCATCCACTAGAGTGCACGTCATTGGGGGTGCACCTGTAGATCGCTGAACATCCGAAAATCAAGGCCATCTATTGGGTTAGCTAAATAACCCCCTACATTCCCCTTCGTAAAACTGTGGGGCATATGTTTGGTTGGTTGGCTGGAGAAAGTGGGCAAATGTGTAAGGACCACAACGCTGCGAAGCCTTGGCCGTAAGAGGCAACGCTGCGTGTGAATGAGAGCATCGCTGTGAGCGCAAGAGGCAACACCACGCGTGAATGGAGGCATCGCCGCGAGCGTAAAGAGTAGCACCGTGCATGACATGAGGCAGCCTCGTCTGTGAACTCAAGGGCTAGTGCCGACGGGGCATGGAGACCAGTGCCAGCTATGTGATGGGACGTAGCGCCGTTTATAAATTGAAGAGAGAGAAGAAGTTGTAGCATCATCGTGTGGAGCAACACCGCGTATGAAACTGAGTATCATCGTGCGTGAATTTAGGAGTAATGCCGTGCGTGAAAATGAAGGGACGCCACGTGAACGAGTGACCAACGCCATGTGTGAAAACAAAAATGGGCAACGCCGCGAAC